GGGGGGCGAGCTCGGGGATCACACAACGACACGGAGTATAAAAATGTACTGCAGTAGTATAGAATTATAATGGCAGGTCAGGCCCCCCTTACGCACAAGCCCCACGAACGAAGTTATAATAAATGGCAGGTAAGGCCCCCCTTTCATTACACACAAGCCCCACGAACGAACGAACGAACGAAGCAACAAGTGGCAGATCGTGCAACAAGGTGCACGAACCGATTGCCGATTGTCGGCCAACCCCTCAAGAGTGGCCTACCGTAGCCCTTCCCTTCGCCATGCCAGCGTCACACATCATTCACATTCACACTCCAAAACTTTCATTCCAATCCGTGCGCCAAGCCGTGGAAGGAGAGCAAAAAGGGGAAAGCAGACAAAGCCAACCAGCGGGGCAGATGAAGGAAAGAAGAGGAGAAAAAAGTAGAAACCAAAACCCGACGACAAGAGATACATATGCCCCAGGCAGAGAGAATGAGCGCGCGAGCCCGCGAACAAAAGGAAGCAACGTAGGTCGTTAATCAATCATTATCTAATAATCATGTGCAATCTTCAGGAGGTGGGGGGAATCTCACCAAAATGCCTGCGTGCATTTCATCAATATGCTTAATTTTCAAAAACGTGTACGTTTACAGCGTTCAAATGAAGAGAAACCAGGGTTGGCAGCAATACCGACGGCAAGCAAGAACCGCACTGGACCGAACCGGACTGTATATTTTTAAAACTCCTCCCTTCGACCAAAATATCGAACCCAAGCCAATACGTGAAACGAGTGGGGCACGACACACAGCTGACAATGTCGCACTCACTGCGTGTCCCTTCGCTGCGCACACAGCTGACTATGGTAGCACTCTCCGTCGCACATCTTACCGACGAGGTAGCAGATGAAAAGCATGCTCGTGGGGCACACACAATCACATCATCCCAGACGAGAGAGCACATCATTCAGTCCATCGGTCATCCCCGAAGAGAGAGCACATCATTCAGTCCATCGGTCATCCCCGAAGAGAGAGCCCATCATTCAGGCCATGGGGCACAAGTCACACTATCCGTCCGAGAAGGATGCACATATGCGTGTACATACAGTAATACGATCATCGTGTCCGCAGGACAGGCCATGCCCTCACGCTGTGCTCTCCTTGACAATGACATATCACCTGTAGAATACGTCCCATACGTCCCATCACGTCGTTCTTCTTCACAGCCCAACACACATCGTAGACCGTTCTCAAGTAGCAAAACAAGGGCAGATGCAGGATCGTCCTCTGGCCTCCACTACGAAACACAACACCACCAATACTCTTCTTCTCTTATGCATGTCAAATGAAGCGAGACGATGACCGACTTCCCGAGGGAAACCTCTCCCCTCCCTCCGACAAACAAAATACAGCACATACCGCGCCCTTTTTCGACTCGGCAACGGAGGCTGCCGCCCCATGCCTTCGACTGCGAACGTACGTTCCTTCGCCTGCTTGCGTGGGTGTCTTCGTTGGTGATTCCCCCCCCTCTCCTCCCCTTCTTGCCGCCGAGCACCCCTCCGTCCTGAACAAAAAACCCGCGATCCTACAAAAAGCTGCTCAAGCGTCGTCGTCGGTATTTGGTATTTTCCCCGCTTCCTGCCGGCGAGCTCCCCTCTGTGTGCTACGCACAAGGGCAAAAGAGGGCCTCACAAAGGACCGTCCGCACGACGGACCACCCACCTCTTTCCCATCAAGGAGCATTTTTTTCTTACATGCATCTAGACTGGATGTTCATCAGAGTTCATTACGCCCGCTCAAGGTTCGCAGGGCATCTGATGATGAACGAGCAAGCCCAGCTCGCGCCGCGAGCGGCACCGCATAACTCTCGTACCAAAATCTTCCCTTTTTTCCTCCCCTCTCCTTCGCAAAGACCGCGGGTTCAAGCAAGTCCGAGGAAACGTTCCTTCACAGCCCTACGTAGGAGTGTCGAACACCTCCTTCGATGATGCGGGCTTTAATGCCAACTGTCGCGGCTTCACAAACCATAAATGTTTATAATCATGGGTCCCCTCCCCTCCTTAACCCCATCACGCAGATTTTATCCCCAATCCATTGATCAACCAATCACTCAGTCACTCGCTCAGTCACTCGCTCAGTCAATCAATCAATCAATCAATCAATCAAGCAAGCAAACCAGCAAGCCAGCAAGCAAGCATTTGACCGATCGATCGCAGCGATCAATTAGACTATAGCAACAATACGCTAACGAACAGCTCTGGTGATGATCGTCGAAAGTCTCCCCCTCCTAATGATCGGAGGTTAGGGTGTGCTCCGCTGCACAGAGCCACCCACGCAAAGGTCAAACCGGCTCTAGAGCGTGTGACGAGGAACGAAGAGCCCATTATCTACCGCGAAGAAAGGCTGCCAAGCACGACGCAGGCCGGGCACAGGCGAGCAATGAAGGAAGGAAGACAGGAAGTAAGGAAGGAACGAAGGAAGGAAGGTATATGTACCTACCGCAAGGCCCTCTTACGACTATATATACACTGGACTATCGTCATAGGCAGAGTAACATTGATGGCAGCAATCCCAACATGAAAGAACGACGGCTGTTTGTTTGCCCACGCACTATGATAGGAGGTGATCTCTCTGTCTCTTTCCATGAAATGTGCTCGCTCGTTGGTATTTATTATTGGTAAGAATAAAGGTAGGTTTATTATTCATAAGAATCAAAGATAATCCAAGCCCTCCCCGCGTACTCCGAAGCGTATTCCAAGAATACGCGGAGCACGATTCCAGCCGCGGTAATAACAATGAAAAAAACACAACACTTCTGGCAGCTTTGCCGCCGGATTGGCGACTGTCGTCTAGTTCACCGACATCTCTCTTATGCCACTCGCGGAGAAATACCTAAATACACAGGTGTAAAAAAAAGCTGAGAAATGTACAGATCAATGGAGTCGTAAGAAGTTAGGTAGCTATAGCATATTGGAAGAAGTAGGTATCCCGAAGCAATCAGTATGCATCGCTTTGCGCCGAAGGGGGAGAAACATTGTCTGCCATGGAAACTTCGATACGCTACGAGGAAGCTCGACGAGCGTGCAGCAGAAAGACCATGCCCAAGTAGACCAGACAATGGGAGAAGAGATTGTGTCTCCATTAGACTCCGCCGTGAGCCGCCGACTGTTAATCTCTCGCTCACAAAGGAGTCGTGCACCCACACACACACTACGACCGCGCACACATACACAGAAACACACACACGCACGCACGTACGTGCGCGCAAGGATGTACATGCACGCACGGACACGCCGATGGATCCACGCACAGAGTCACACACCTGATTATTGCTGCTCCTAGCATCATAGTCTCTCGTCGCACCACGCCGCAAAAAGACTGAGCTAACCTGCTTTCCTTAACGTCAGCCGTGCATTCTCCACACAAACTGCATCCCCTCTTCTTCACCCTCCTCCCCCCTTCTCCCCTCTCTCTCTTTCGGCAGGGTCTTCGATGTCTTCAAGAATTAAATCAGATCGAAAGAGCGAACTTTCCTCGTTCCTGCATATCACGTCTTCTCTCCTCTCCTCCTCTATTTCCCCTCGTTCTAACAGCACACACACAGCCCGATACAGGCATACACACGTGCAGGCAAATACACGCGCATACGCATGCATGCATTATCGTCCTTCATGCACACATACCTCACTATCGCGTCGCGCCGCTGCAGAATCGCGCCGGCCTCACACAGCTCCCCGCCCGCCCAAATGCCCTCCAGTACAAACGCGCCCCACCCCACTCTCGCTATCGCTCTCCTCCCAACATTTCTTCACTTCACAATACAACAAAACAAAAACAACAAAAACAACAACAACAACAACAACCAGACCAATAGTGTACTCTGCACCGACTCTCTCCTCCCTTTCCCAGCACCGATCATCTTCCCCATAGGCATGTCACACAAAGCCAGACATACGTGCACACGTTATCACCATTACGTATCCAATCCAATCCACCATGGGTCAAACGCATCCAGTAGAGAAACTTTCGACAATCCCATGACACTCATGCGAGGCGCCCGATAACAAAACGGTCGGTCGCCGACTACCGTCCACCACCGAGCGACCGCAAAAATGAGAACCAGTACGCTCACAGCTCTCTGCCGCTGCTGCCCGTGTAAGTGCGCGCTTCGGAGGCATATGCATGAAGGAAACGACACGAGACGACGGGCAGTGCAACAGTCATAGCAGCAGCTTCTTTCTTCGCTTCTCAAGTATCACGTGCGCCTGGCCGCAAGAGCGGGCAAGGTGGAGGGGAAGGGGGGGGGAGATTCGTAGGTAGGTAGGCAGCCAAGTATATGCGGCGGGTGGGCGGCCCCAAGCGAGTCGGTCGGCCGCCTACTACACCCTGTAATCTTTACGCAAGGCCTCGATCGTGTCCACGGAAACAGACAACTCGCCAGCTCGAGCAGCGTGCAACAGATGGCCGAACACTGTTGCGAAGGTTCTCTTGTCCTTTGCAGGAAGAAGCATCGCCGTCATCTTAAACCGGTTCACTTTAGAGAGCGCGCGCAAGACGACTTCCGCGCCCCCCGGATCGTTCGGAAGGAAGCCCTTCTCGAGCGCCATGCCGATCGATGCCATCATCGAGGCGCTAAGGGCATCCCCGAAGACCGTCGGGTACGAATCGGCCTCGATTGCTCTCACATACTCGGCCAGAACCACGGGCTGTCTCTGAAGGAACTGGCAAGCTCTCTCGAAGTCCGTCGCCGTCTTCGGTTTGCCGGGGAGTCCTGTTCCCCTCGCCGCGACCGCTTTGGCGGCCGCCATAGCCGCGAGCGGAAGCGAAATGGACGGCCCGACACCAGACCCCGCTCCCCCCGCCTTGCGCACCCCTCCTGGAGACATCGGAGGTGTCACACCCGCTGTCGGTGTGCTGAGACCACCAATGGGCGTCGCAACACCTGTGCTCGAGGGCGTCACATTACCATTGGAGTTGTTCCCACCGCCGCCTCCCCACAATCCGCCTATGGCAGATGCCCACCACCCTCCGGTCGGAGTGGTCGGTTGGGATCCCTCCCCTCCCGCTGCGCCCTTCGCAGAGGCCCCCGTTCCTTGCTGCCATACGGCAGACGGCGGAAGGGAAATAGGCGCCACTCTTTTCGTAGAAGAGGGGGCACATCGCGCGCGCGAGGGCGATGACGACGTACTGCTGTCCGGCTGAGCCACGATGCCCCCGAGTATCGGAGATATGGCTGGCGTTCCCGCAGCTGCAAGACTTGGAGACCTTGGAGTCCCCTCCCCCGCCATCTCCCCCACCCCACATTCCCCTTCGTAGGGCGAATTTCCCGTTGCCGTGTCCACATGCAGAGCCGAATCACTGCATAGCGACGACGACGACGAAGACGATGAAGAGGAGGAAGACGAGGCAAACCCGCCAGCCAAGGACCTCGGGACCTTGTTGCCATCGCCGGCATACCTCTTCCTCCTCGCGCCCGTGCCATCCGGAGATGATACCAACGCGGGAACCACCCCATCAGGAGGAGCAGAACTGGCAATCGGCCTCGAAGTCCTTACCGTCGCCACAGCTGAGATCAATTCGTCGCCAGTCCCTTCCCCGCCGCCTCCTCCTCCTCCTCCTCCTCTGGTAGCTGGCTTAGGGGCCTCGCCTGCTGCCGCATTGCCTTCCGCGATGGCCTTCTCGAGGGCTGCAATTTCCGCCGCGACCTGCTTGTTCCCGGGAACTGCGTCCCAAACGACTTTGAAGTCTCGGAGCGCCTCCTCGTACCTTCCCATCTTCTTCATGGCGACAGCCCGTCTGTTGTACGCCTTGGTGTACGTCGGATCCAGTGTTATTGCCTGAGAGCTGTCCGCCACCGCTTCTTCATACATCTCTAGCTGCACGTAACAAAGAGCTCGATTTCCATACAAAGCGGGGGAATCGCATTTGTACTGCAGACTCCGAGTGTAGCATTCCGCCGCTTCCTGGAAGCGCTGCTTGCGGTACAACTCGTTGCCTCGACTCTTCTCTTCGTTGGCCTTCTCAAAGCACTCCCGCACCACCTTCCACTTATCCCTGTCCATCGCTTGACCTCTCCCTCCACCACCATTACTGCCCGACTTTCTCTCCCTTTTGCCCGTCTCGAGGCCACCGGAGGACTGACGACCCTTGGTTGGCTCTTCGCCGTCGCCGGTGATCCCTCCCCCCCCCCCTCCAGCCGTGGCGCTGGGAACACCAGTTTCCTGTGCAGAGGAGGGACCCTTCTCCTCCGTGCCGGTAGAAAACCCCTGCTGCTGCTTAACAGACGCTGCCGCAAGTGACACAGCCCCCCCTCCTCCCTTTCCCAGCGCTCCCATCTTCTCCCTCACCTCCTTCTCCACCTTTTTCTTCGTCTCCTGCATGAACAACTTCATTTCCACCACCTTCTTCTCGTCCATCACCTTCTTCATCTCCGCCTCTCGCGCGTCCTCCGCTCCGCTGTCGCCGCTCCCGCGCGCCTCCGAACCGTTGAACGTGCTCTGCCTTGTCATCCTGCTCGTCTGCGGTTGCTTCGCTTCGCTCTGCCCGTTAAAGCTTCCCGACCGTGGTATCCGTCCCGGCGCGTTATTACTACCGCTCCCACCAGCACTCTTCGCACCATTACTACCAGCAGCATCGGACAAGTTGGAATAACTCACCGCCTTGCCCATGGGTCGTTGCTCAAGCTTCGCTTTGAACTTCAGGTACTCTTCGTCGTCTTCACAACAGAAGTCCTCCTCCTCGTCCTCGTAATCATCGTTTTCATCGTCACGGTCGTTTACCTCCTCGTCGTCGCGTTCGCCGTCCGATCGAAAAGATCCCTGCCGCGTTCCCCATCCTCCTCTTGCCTTCGTGGTTGTGATCCATCCTGCGGTCGAGGATCCTCGTTGTCTCTCCTTCTCCCTCTCCCCGTCAGATCCCGACTCGTCGTCCGACATAGGGTTGCCATCGTCGTCATCAAACACCTCCGTGACGATCAGCCGGTCCCCGTTCGGGACCGAGGTCGTGGTTTCCCGGTCCAAATCCATTTCCGCTTGCAGCGCCTTGATGTCCGCCATCACCTCAGCATTGCCAGGAAGCATGTCGATCACGACTTTGTAGTCCGCCATCGCTTCTTGGCGCCTTCCCATCGCTCGCAGCGCCGCAGCCCGGTGCCGGTATCCCTTCACAAAATTGGGATCGCTATCTAGCGCGGCCGACGCGTCTTTCACTGCCCCGGTCAGATAACCCAGCTTAATCCGACATAAAGACCTATTGCACAGCACGGGGGCTCTGTTCGAGATGAACTCCAAGCTCTCGGAGTAACACACCTCCGCCATTTTCAAGTCCCCTTCGCCGTAATACTGGTTGCCAAGCTGCCTCCACTCATCGGCCATCTTCCATGCGATCTCCAGCGCAATGTCCACCTCGTCTACGTCGCTGAGTGCTCCACCTCCGCCAGCACTCTGCTTGTCCGTCTCGCTCTCCGAGGTCGTCACTCCTCCTATAGCAGCTTCTCCCCCGCCGCCTCCCACTGCTTCTCCGTTTGCCACCGCAAAACCCCCGTCGCCCGGGGGCGCCTCCTCCACCTTTATCTCCTCGATCTTCACACCCAGATCTTTGATACTGACATCCTCCACTCCGGACGGAGAACCACCCATGCTTTGATCTC